TTTTATAAATTATGATAATAATTAAAAACTATAACTTGATATATAATTATAGTAAAAGCTTATAATTTAGTTCAAAAATAATAATATATTATTTTATATTTAATTATTTAAAAATATTAATTTTCATAAAAATAGATAGATAATTTTATATTATGATATTTATTAATAAATTATTAATATATTATAATTATACAATAACTATTTAAAAAATATCTTAAAGAATAATAAAATTTTTTATTATATATTCTTTATTAATAAACTAAGTATAATTATTCTTTAAAATTAATTAGAAATATGAATAAAATTTTTATGTTATCAAATTCAATAACTATTAAAGAATATAGGGTAAAAATTATTTTTTTTCTTATTATAAGTCATAAATATATTTATTTTATAATAACTCTTATTTATTTTGTAAATAATATAAAATTTTCTTTTTTAATTATTTTTAAATTAGTTAAAGTATTACAAGAATAACTTTCTAAAGATATATTTATTTATATAAATTCAAATAGATAAATAAATAAAAAAAGAAATATTTTAATAAGTAAAAAATATATAAAATTAATAAGTTAATTTAGATTTAAATTTATATTCTTTTTTTATTTTAAATTTATTTACTAATCATAAAATAGATATAGTTAAATACTATTTACATAATATAATACAGTATTAATTTTTCTTGAGCATTTTATTAATATTTTTTTTATATATTTCTTGCTTATTAAATATGAAAATTTTCTTGTAATATTTTAATTGTATTTATATTAAATTTTATATTTAATTATGTTTAATATAGTAAATATAAAAAAATTTATATTTATAAATCTTTCACATTTATATTTTCTATAGTGAGAGATAATATAAGATATTTAATATTTATATAATATAAAAAGTATTATAATTTAAAAATAAATAATTTTAATAAAAAATCTTTTTTATAGATTTATTAATTTTTATCTAAGCTATAATTTTGTTAAAACAGATTTTTTATTAATTATAATTTTAAAAAGTTATAACACTTTAATTTTATATGTAATTGAAAATTTGGTATTTATTATATAAAAATAAATATTCAAATTTTTTTAATTGCTTCTGATTGGTTAGTTCAATTAATATGTATAAGATCTATAATAAAAATTGGCATTTTGGCGCAGTATTGGATATCTTATGCTGTCCCTTACTGTATAAATAATATCATCCAAATGTAGTTCCCTCTTATAATATATCCTTCCAAAAATAGTATCCGATTCTATACACAGTACCCAGAGATACTATTCAATTTTAAAAATAGCTATTCTTGATTAAGACCCGGGGTACTGTAAGCAGTGCGATACGGTAATATTCTTCTCGAGATATGGTATCCGCACATAGTTATTCCGGAGCATCTTCAGGAATTGGGTCTTATTGAATAAGGGTAAAACTCTAAATGCTTTTACATTTAGCATATCGTTTGGGTCGATCAAAATCATGTGACTGCACGACTCGCGACCTGTCGAGAAAAAATTTTTATTTTTCCAATACACACATACACAAGTTTAAAAGATAAACTTGATGCGGGTTAACAAACTAACACTCTATTGATTCTTTTAGAATTACTGAAGAGTATCACGAACAATTGAAATTAACACGTTATTTAATAAATATTGTCAAGAATCGAAAAAACATCCTCTCTCATTCGGTTAACCTCTGGAGTTTCAGAGGTTTGATGTGGAGGTGATGAAGGTGGGGAAGGTGTAGATTGACGAGCTATTGCCTTGCTTGTAACTATTTTGTTAAGCATTAACAATGTATGCTATATTAATGGAATGTTAGTACATACTTCGCAAAATGAAAAACATGTATCAACAGTATAAAAAACACACTCTAAATCCCAGGAGGTTCTTAATTAACGGTCCCAATAAATCTTCCATTGCCGACATGGACCTTGGGATAACTAGTGTAGCAACTTCTGATAAAAAATAAAAATCAACATCACAATTATATGATAGACAATATATTGTCCACTTGTGACCTATTGATTTTGTTGAGACAAAGGTGAACAAACATCCACCTAGATGAATTATTAAATAGAGTCACGAGAAATTCTTCACACCAGTTACTTGGATTCCCATGACAAAGATTTCAGCCAAATCTTTCTTTTTAAAATGAAGCTCATCACGGAAGTTATCCATCATATCCTTCAGTTCTATTTTCAATGCTGTGTGATCTTCACGTAGTTTCAAATCATCGTTGTTCGTTTCAGTGTTGCCGACTTCCACAGATACTAATTCGATACCATAATTGCGTAGCTCTACAACAACATCCACTTTAGTCGACTCGTTTCCAAACTTAACGTATTCTGCATGGATTTTACGTCTTTTTCTAGTTTGCACTGCTTTAGATATTTTTTCGATCCTATAAATTTATGAAATTTCAACATCTAACCGAAATAAATCATGAGTATCAATGCAAAGGTGACGTACCAATATGTTTGGAAACGACCGCTATCATATTCCTCCAACAGATCAGTTAAGATAGGTGACATAATTCTTAATATATAGTCTCTTTCTCGGATTGGATGAGATAATATATTTACTTCACGTCTGCAACACTTATAACTGTACAGAAAATAACAGAAGTTAATATGTTTAATTGAGCAAATAAATATTTTAAGTAACTTACAAAAATGAAACAATTTCAGCTGATAAATTTCCATCTTCAGATCCGATGTTTGACAGCTTATCTTTTAATTGTTTCAAACCATCTAAATTTCTCTGTAATGAGCATTATAAAATGATCAATTGTTCATATAATTATAATATATCAAAGTGAAATGGCACAAATATAAAAAATACTAGGACTTACAATGCTGGTTCCAGAATTATCGATTAAATCAATAACATTCTTATCAATTCGATCTTTTGATAATTTTTGCTGACAAGTTCTGAATAATTTCGCTTTATCTTCAGTCTTCAGAATTCGTGACCAATCAACGCATGACCAATTCGTTAAGTCAATTATTCTTGATTCTATTGATCTATCATTTACAACAAACGTTACTAGTTTGATAATTGCATATCTAATAAGTTAGATCATATCGTGTATGGAAAAGACTTACTGAACTTTTATGTTTTTTTTATTCAAACGATCCATGACCAATCTCCAGATTTCCTCTAGATCCTTAGATGGTAAAAGCTTTTTAATCTAAACATTGCCATAATAATTATTTAGAGAAGTCAATCAAAGGATTGCGTTTAATAAATCAAAACAAACCTACCGTATCATTGACACTCTTTTCTGCATCTATCATGGATTCAGTTTGTGGGCTGGATTCTAAACTGATTGGACGCTTTCCTGCGTTCATCTACAAAATTACACATAATAGGGTAAACAACTACAACTGTTGTTTTAACAACTGTTATTTTAGTTTTATCTTTCTGCTATGATTACAACAATATGTACTCATACAATGACTTTAGAGTCAGATTCCTTATCATCTTCATAATTTCTTTCGGAAGTCTCAACACTAGTTCCTAAAATATTCAATTTCTGTGAATGAATTAATAATTAGGTTTCGAAATAATATCTCATGCAGTGCATTAGTTAACTACCGAAGATGAAGCAGTGAGTATTTTGTCATCTTCAACGGTAAGCTGGACTTCTGTTCCATACAGCGACTTCTTCTCAACTAACAATTCCTCTTTAGCCCCTTTAAGTGCCTGTGAAATCGGATTAACTTCTGTTACATGGACATACTGATAGAATTAACAACAGAAATAATTTACCTTTACATCCATTCTTTTGAAAAAAGTAGAAACTTCTTCCGATTCAAACAGTCGATCTACTTCATTGTAAAGTTTGGTGGCTTTATTTATTGCATATTTCGATATTGATTGATGATTCCG